CCGGTTGATTGACAGTTGAGAGGCGGGACCAAAGAGTCTGGGCTCAACCCTCACAAGCACAACTAGGTTAGTACACATTCTCTCTCTCTCTCTCTCTCTCTCTCTCTCTCTCTCTCTCTCTCTCTCTCTCTCTCTCTCTCTCTCTCTCTCTCTCTCTCTCTCTCTCTCTCTCTCTCTCTCTCTCTCTCTCTCTCTCTCTCTCTCTCTCTCTCTCTCTCTCACACACACACACACACACACACACACACACACACACACACACACACACACACACACACACACACACACACACACAACATGAGCAGTTTCCCAGGATGGTGTTTGTGTACACCTGCGTGTGGTGTACACATGTGCGCGTGTAGGCGGGTGGCGGGCGGCGTGCACACCGGCCAGCGTGTGTGACGAGCGGCTGACAGTTCTTCAACACGGCCACAGTGTGATTATATCAATGGCAAATTTATTCAGTTTTTGTTGCCTGTAATTGTGAGGCGGTTATTATACTGGTCACGTGTCGACCATCAAAGGTGGGGGGGGGAGGGGGAGGTGTGGGGGGATATTGTTGGAGACAGATGGTGTAAGGACGGGGTGCGTGTTGGAGTTGGTTGGCGGGGTTATTGGTGGAGGTGGGTGGTGGGGTGGTTTTCGTATTAAGGTTTATGTTGGGGAATTGGTGGAATGGGGCGAAGAGGGAGTGCTATTGGCCCTGATAATAACTGATTGTAGATTGTGGAAGTGAAAATTGGTGAATGGGGATTGGGTGGGTGGCGTCGGGTTAAATATGAGTGACGTGTAGGTGTTGGGTTGAGGGGATTTATCAATAAGCTTAAACTCTACAACAGTAGTGATCCTGTTAGAAGTAGGCTTGAGGGGCCGCTCCAAGCAACAGCCTGTTGGTCCAAGCTCTCACAAGTCGAGAGTGGAAGAACTGCCAGAACCCTCTCCAGGTATGGGGTTGGTCACGCAGCAGACATACGTCTTCGTCAGTCCTCCTCTGACCGTATTAGAGACCTGTTACACACCTCAGTGCAGCGGGCTCTTAAACAATCGCGAGGTGATTGGATCCCAAGACGTCATTGTACCCCCAGAAGGTGATTGGTTCCCAATAGGTGAATGAATCCCAGGAAGCCATTTTATTCCAGGCGATGAATGTAAACCACGAGGTGATTGTAACACAGGATATGATTCGGAGCCAGAAGGTGATTGGACCTAATCACAATTCAAGAAATGCATAAATATATTTTCTTCGGAGCTCTACAATTTACGAGTACAGTGTTGCATGTTTTATATCATTTTCATTTGGAGAGAATTTTGGGGGGATGGAGTTGGGGCTCGTGCAAATGTTCTTGCGTAGAGGAATGTCAATGTTTCTTGCGTGCATGGGAGGGGGGGGGGTGATCCCCCTACCCATCATCATTATTAATTAGGATCGATAATCACGTACCTGCAGTAAGGTAATTATCAGGGGAAAGACCAAGCTAATGTTTATTCAGCACTTGGAAGGGATATGATGTCAAGGAGCTGGGATATGAGGACAAGGAGCTGGGATATGAGGACAAGGAGCTGGGATATGGGGACAAGGAGCTGGGATATGAGGACAAGGAACTGGAATATGAGGACAAGGAGCTGGGATATGAGGACAAGGAGCTGGGATATGATGTCAAGAAGCTGGGATATGAGGACAAGGAGCTGGAATATGGGGACAAGGAGCTGGGATATGAGGACAAGGAACTGGAATATGAGGACAAGGAGCTGGAATATGAGGACAAGGAGCTGAGATATGAGGACAAGGAGCTGGGATATGAGGACAAGGAGCTGGGATATGAGGACAAGGAGCTGAAATATGAGGACAAGGAGCTGGAATATGAGGACAAGGAGCTGGGATATGGGGACAAGGAGCTGGGATATGAGGACAAGGAACTGGAATATGAGGACAAGGAGCTGGGATATGGGGACAAGGAGCTGGGATATGAGGACAAGGAGCTGGAATATGAGGACAAGGAGCTGGGATATGAGGACAAGGAACTGGGATATGATGTCAAGGAGCTGGGATATGAGGACAAGGAGCTGGGATATGAGGACAAGGAGCTGGGATATGAGGACAAGGAGCTGGGATATGAGGACAAGGAGCTGGAATATGAGGACACGGAGCTGGGATATTAGGACAAGGAACTGGGATATGATGTCAAGGAGCTGGGATATGAGGACAAGGAGCTGGGATATGAGGACAAGGAGCTGGAATATGAGGACAAGGAGCTGGGATATGAGGACAAGGAACTGGGATATGATGTCAAGGAGCTGGGATATGAGGACAAGGAGCTGGGATATGATGTCAAGGAGCTGGGATATGAGGACAAGGAGCTGGGATATGTGGACAAGGAGCTGGGATATGAGGACAAGGAACTGGGATATGAGGACAAGGAGCTGGGATAATACACATGGAAAATACTTGAGGGCCAGGTCCCAAATCTACACAGTAAAATAACAACATACTGGAGTGAACGATATGGAAGAAAATGCAGAATAGAACCAGTGAAGAGCAGAGGTGCCATAGGCACAATCAGAGAACACTGTATAAACATTAGAGGTCCGCGGTTGTTCAACGTCCTTCCAGCGACTATAAGAAATATTGCCGGAACAACCGTGGACATCTTCAAGAGAAAACTGGACTGTATTCTAAGAGAAGTTCCGGATCAACCGGGCTGTGGTGGGTATGTGGGCCTGCGGACCGCTCCAAGCAACACCCTGGTGGACCAAACTCACAAGTCAAGCCTGGCCTCGGGCCGGGCTTGGGGAGTAGAAGAACTCCCAAAACCCCATCAACCAGGTATCAACCAGGATATGAGGATAAGGAGCTGGGATATGAGGACAAGGAGCCTGAATATGAGAACAAGGACCTGGGATATGAGGACAAGGAGCTGGGATATGAGGACAAGGAGCTGGGATATGAGGACAAGGAACTAGGATATGAGGACGGGGTGAAGGAGCGGTACCCAACCTCTTCGATCATAGGGGATCGAACGTCGACCTTTAAGAAGCGTGGCCGTATGCTGTACCTACCAGACCAAAGGGATTTATAATCAGTCACTGATCTACCTTCCTGTTGGTATAAGTTAAGAGGTAAACGTGAAAACAATTGCTAGTGATCAGGCACTCGAATATTTCGTCATCCTATTTACGTGGGGGTTCATTGAAGGAAGGTCACGACTAGATTTTATATTAACCGTGAAATAATTATTCTTTCTTTGTATTGGGCACTCAAGTCATTTAGGATGTTGTGTGTGTTGGCTGGCACAGACATGACACAAGACGAGTCCGGGATGTGAGGGCATGTCTGAGAGCAGGCATGACATGACAGGGGGTGTGGGAAGGGAACTATCAGGAATAAGCGCCAAGCTATTACGACTGTATAGCACTGGGAAGGGGGGTCTGGATTAGGATTTGGGATTGGACGGGCGGAAAGGAATGGTGCCGGTCCACAGGGGTGTAGGAGGCTGCTACAGTGCAGTGCACTATGTCAGTGATGGTTGTAATGATGCTGATGTTGTATCCCGTGCAGGAGGACGGGGAGGCGGAGGAGGACTCGCGGGACCTGGTGCTCCGGGCGGAGGCGCTGCAGAGGCAACGAGAGTCACTGTTGTCGTCGCCTCAGGCACTGATGAATGCCATGAGAGGCGGTGGCCCGCCCTCGCTAGTGCCTCCAGGGCCGCACCTGCCGCCCTTCATCCCCAGTACCGTCGGCCTGCCGCCCACTTCCCAGATGCCGCCCACGCCAGGCTCAGCTGGCTCTCGGGACTCCTCAGGCAACGGCGCCCGCACGCCCTCACACACGCCCGAGCCGCACCAGAGTCAGCAGTCCTGGAGCTTCGAGGAGCAGTTCAAACAGGTGAGTCTGCTTGTAGTATACTGTTTCACTCCCACGAGTCACAGGTCAAGTTGTTCCTCTCCGACTTGGTTATATTTGTACCCCCCCCCCCCCGCCTCCCCGTGACCTGGACGATGTCTTCCTTCTTCGTGTCCACGACGAAGTCTCGCTCACTTGGAGGACGCCTGCAAGAAGTGCTTGGCCAGTGTCTGGATCACTGTTTCCTTCACAGGTCTGACATTTCCTTCATCACCTTATCGCTTTTATCGCCCTCGCTTCACCAACCTTGGAATTTGGCGTCGTAATATATTCACGGAGACTATTACATTTTTGCCGTATTAGAATAATGGAGACTTGTAATTTTAAATCGTATTATATCCACTGCAGCACAGACAACAATTTTCATATATATCTTCTTATAATTTATACCGGTTTGGTGGTGTATATCTCCAAGGTATTTATCTCCCTTGTACATTTTGTCAAACACCGGGCACCAGTAGTCTAGCACTACCAGAGCCAAAGGCACACACCTTATCAGGTGGGCACATCTGTCTCTGTAAAATAGAATTTCTGATTGTTCATAGTTGGAGGTGAGGTTCAAGTTAAAGTATGTATATTGAGACAAGAAAACACATCTCAAAGGAATAGAGTAGCTTAGGCTATTTCTACCCCCCCCCCTCCCCCTTGGAGGCCAGGTACTTGGGGCTAGTATCCTCATTAAACCTTGCAGGATTACTGTTCACTGTACGGGGAGTGTCATAGGGAGGCGAGGGTTGGATCTCATGTCAGACCCCTTGTGGGGGTTGATACCTGGTTCAGATGGTTGATACCTGATACCTAGGGGGAGGCGGCCTATTTGCACACCCATTATAAAGTCCGTGGATATGAAAGGTTCTGGCCCCGAGTCCCATTTGTTTAAATATTATTATGCTCGGATATTGCAGCCCATCCTCCTATGTATAATAATAATGCTTGTTCAGGTAAAAGTACATACATACGAAATGAGAAACAGAATGTTGGATTTCTAGACAGAGCCAGTATATACTGTGTCTAAAGCCACTAATACGCACAGTGTTTCGGGCAGACAGATAGTAATTATTGTAACGATGCGAACCATCGTACATATACTAACGTAGTGGACAAATAGCTAATAGAATTAGGTACTACTGAATTTATACAAACCGGAAAAGGCTTTGCATTGATGTTAATAATAAATCCAAACCTAACCTATGTATCCTAGGCCTAATAAAGTACATATATGGGCTATTCTAGGCCTAGGAATATTTAAGCTTGACTTTTAGCTTTTATTTTTTCTGAACTCAATAAAAGTGAATAGTAGCAAATTCTACTAATTGATTGTTCATTACGTCAGTATATTTTTGATGGCCCACAGAGTTACAAAAGTACTGTCTAAGCCGGGGGATGGGTGGGCATATTGACACGTACACACACGTGTTCAGGTAGACTTGTATTTTGGGTACAACTTTGTTGGTATACAGTGATGGAGACGGTGTATAGTGAAAATGGTTACATCGATGGGAGAGACGGGGAGGATGTGCGTGTGTGTGTGGGGGGGGGGGGGGATGTGTATTCACCTAGTTGTGCTTGCGGGGCTAAGCTCTGCTCTTTCGGCCCGCCTCTCAACTGTCAATCAACTGTTTACTACCTACTCCCCCCTCCCCCACACACGCACACCAGGAAGCAGCCCGTGACAGCTGACTAACTCCCAGGTACCTATTTACTGCTAGGTAACAGGCCCATCAGGGTGAAAGAAACTCTGCCCATTGTTTCTCTCCGGCGCCGGGAATCGAACCCGGGACCACAGAATCACGCGTCCAGCGTCCTGTCCAGTCAGCCACCGGCCTGTATGTGTGTGTGTGGTGTGGGGGGAGGGGGACGATGGGGGAGCCTCGAGCAGCTAACTTGTCAGTCATGGGACAGTTTGATGACTAAACAACACATCAGAAGATAAGGAGACGACGACGTGTCGGTCCGTCCTGAACCATTATCACAGTCGATTTGATACTGGTCCAGGACAGACGGACACGTCGTCGTCTCCTCGTCTTCTGGTGTTAGGTTTGGTCATCATATCTTCAGCCACATTATTGTGACACATCATGGCACCGTATTTGCTCATCCCCCCCCCGCCCCCCCTCTCTCTCAACCCCAGTAAAGGGTCTTCAACCATGGGCCCTGAATACCGCGTCCCGTCGAGGGCCTTCAGACTGGGGCCCTCAGTATACGAGAGCTCCCTGGAGCACGATCTGTTGAACAGTACACCTTCTGTAATTACCATTTCCTTCGCCTCCTGCTGATAGTGACCTGTGTTGCCTCACACGAGAGGCCGAGGTGTACGTGTACTCGCCTACCTGTGTTGGCAGGGTTGAGTGCTGACTCTTCAGCCCTGCCTTACACCCTCGGGAAGGTTGGACTTGGGAGTACGGGTACTCCCACCACTGATACCTATCCTGGCAACAATCAATTGTACCAGACAAGGCAACGTCTGGGATGCCCTCAGACGTAGATTCGAATCCTCGTCACGGGCCATGTGGATTTGCTCAATTGCGCCGATGAGAGGGGGGACCTGCTGCCTTGGTAACAGCTTCTCCCCCGAATCAACCTACCCTGGCTTTGCGCCCTGGTGAGGCCACTCCAGACCGACAACCAGAGTGCAACTCCATAGTCTCCTGAGACTGATGGATGCCTACTACTACCAGTCTTAGAACTTTTCAAGAGGCCAGTTATGTGAATTTTGCCGTCTGTGTGGTAATGACACTTTGGCGTAAACACAACTACAAGTACAAGTACCAAATCTACACAGTAAAATAACAACGTACTGGAGTGAACGATATGGAAGAAAATGTAGAATAGAACCAGTGAAGAGCAGGTGCGCCATAGGCACAATCAGAGAACACTGTATAAACATCAGAGGTCCGCGGTTGTTCAACGTCCTCCCAGCAAGCATAAGAAATATTGCCGGAACAACCGTGGACATTTTCAAGAGGAAACTAGATTTATTCCTCCAAGGAGTGCCGGACCAACCGGGCTGTGGTGGGTATGTGGGCCTGCGGGCCGCTCCAAGCAACAGCCTGGTGGACCAAACTCTCACAAGTCAAGCCTGGCCTCGGGCTGGGCTTGGGGAGTAGAAGAACTCCCAGAACCCCATCAACCAGGTATCAACCAGGTATCAACCAGGTATCAACCAGGCGTCTGCAACGAGGAAATATACATTCAAAACATGCTTCTTCACTTTATCAACAGCTCACGGTTGCAGACACTACACTAGCAAGCCTTGCAATACACATGCAGATATTTCCTTATTACTTTTAGCCAGTTAATGATACCATAGTGAGATTATATTTGGGATGTTTATGTCTGAGAACCAATGTTTATGTCTGAGAACCCATGTTTATGTCTAAGAACCAGTGTTTATGTCTGAGAACCAATGTTTATGTTTGAGAACCAATATTTATGTCTGAGAACCAGTGTTTATGTCTGAGAACCAATATTTATGTCTGAGAACCAGTGTTTATGTCTGAGAACCCATGTTTATGTCTGAGAACCCATGTTTATGTCTGAGAACCCATGTTTATGTCTGAGAACCCATGTTTATGTCTGAGACCCAATGTTTATGTCTGAGAACCAATATTTATGTCTAAGAACCAGTGTTTATGTCTGAGAACCAGTGTTTATGTCTGAGAACCCATGTTTATGTCTGAGAACCCATGTTTATGTCTGAGAACCAATGTTTATGTCTGAAAACCAATGTTTATGACCGAGAAGCAATGTTTATGTATGAGATGAGATCTTGTGACGGAGAGATGTTATGAGGAAGATGAGGAGGTCTTGTAAGAGAAATGAGATGATAAGGAGATCCAGTGAGATAGCTTGCCAAGATCATAACCAGTCTCAGCCAGCGTATACATGTCTTGAGGAAATTTGTTTAAAACAACCGTAATTTCGTATATTTAGATGACAAGGTGGTAATTAAGGTGCCGTATACGGAGGCGTGTTTTGAGAAGCAGCTGACTTCTAATGTTTATATCTGAGAACCCATGTTTATGTCTGAGAACCCATGTTTATGTCTGAGAACCCATGTTTATGTCTGAGAACCCATGTTTATGTCTGAGAACCCATGTTTATGTCTGAGAACCCATGTTTATGTCCGAGAACCCATGTTTATGTCTGAGAACCCATGTTTATGTCTGAGAACCAATGTTTATGTCTGAGAACCCATGTTTATGTCTGAGAACCCATGTTTATGTCTGAGAACCCATGTTTATGTCTGAGAACCCATGTTTATGTCCGAGAACCCATGTTTATGTCTGAGAACCCATGTTTATGTCCGAGAACCCATGTTTATGTCTGAGAACCCATGTTTATGTCCGAGAACCCATGTTTATGTCTGAGAACCCATGTTTATGTCCGAGAACCCATGTTTATGTCCGAGAACCCATGTTTATGTCTGAGAACCCATGTTTATGTCCGAGAACCCATGTTTATGTCTGAGAACCCATGTTTATGTCCGAGAACCCATGTTTATGTCCGAGAACCCATGTTTATGGCTGAGAACCCATGTTTATGTCCGAGAACCCATGTTTATGTCCGAGAACCCATGTTTATGTCTGAGAACCCATGTTTATGTCCGAGAACCCATGTTTATGTCTGAGAACCCATGTTTATGTCCGAGAACCCATGTTTATGTCTGAGAACCCATGTTTATGTCCGAGAACCCATGTTTATGTCCGAGAACCCATGTTTATGTCTGAGAACCCATGTTTATGTCTGAGAACCCATGTTTATGTCTGAGAACCAATGTTTATGTCTGAGAACCCATGTTTATGTCCGAGAACCCATGTTTATGTCTGAGAACCCATGTTTATGTCCGAGAACCCATGTTTATGTCCGAGAACCCATGTTTATGTCTGAGAACCCATGTTTATGTCCGAGAACCCATGTTTATGTCTGAGAACCCATGTTTATGTCCGAGAACCCATGTTTATGTCTGAGAACCAATGTTTATGCCCGAGAACCAATGTTTATGTCTGAGAACCAATGTTTATACCCGAGAACCAATGTTTATGTCTGAGAACCCATGTTTATGTCCGAGAACCCATGTTTATGTCCGAAAACCCATGTTTATGCCCGAGAACCCATGTTTATGTCTGAGAACCCATGTTTATGTCCGAGAACCCATGTTTATGCCCGAGAACCCATGTTTATATCTGAGAACCCATGTTTATGTCCGAGAACCCATGTTTATGTCTGAGAACCCATGTTTATGTCTGAGAACCAATGTTTATGCCCGAGAACCAATGTTTATGTCTGAGAACCAATGTTTATGTCTGAGAACCCATGTTTATGTCTGAGAACCAATGTTTATGTCTGAGAACCCATGTTTATGTCTGAGAACCCATGTTTATGCCCGAGAACCAATGTTTATGTCTGAGAACCCATGTTTATGTCTGAGAACCAATGTTTATGTCTGAGAACCAATGTTTATGCCCGAGAACCAATGTTTATGTCTGAGAACCAATGTTTATGCCCGAGTACCAATGTTTATGTCTGAGAACCAATGTTTATGTCTGAGAACCCATGTTTATGTCTGAGAACCCATGTTTATGTCTGAGAACCCATGTTTATGTCTGAGAACCCGTGTTTATGTCTGAGAACCAATGTTTATGTTCCTTCACCAGTGTTCCTTCACTGGACGAGTCGAGAAATGTGGAGTGATGATCTCGAGGATTGATTGATGAAAATCAAGCCATCTCAGAGGAGGCACGGGCATGAATAGCCCGTAAGATCTAGAGGATTGTTGCTCTTTGTTATCAGGGATGTGGGTTGGTTAAGCGGGGTTTAGTAGGGTGAGATGGGGTTGTACTGGGGAATGGGGTACTGTTTTGAGAGAAGAAATGGTGTTCAAGGGGGAGGAGGGGGGGGGGGGGGTGTTTAGGAGGAGGTGGTTGTGGTTTAAGGGGGGAAGTACGATTTTTTAGGGAGGGGGTAGGGGAGGGTTGGTGGTCAGTCAAACAGCCGCTGGCCAGGCCAGGCTGCAGGTGTGGAAGCACTCTCGTAATCATCTTCAGGCAAACCACAGGTTGGGAAACAGTGAGGACAAAGAGAAGTAAAGTTTCGGTTGCATTGTGGGATCGTAACATGAATCCATAACGACTTCCGGAAATAGTGGTGTAGCGCGGTGTTTGGAGCCTCGCAGCGGCTCCTTACTCCCGGGTCGTGTTGCGGCGCCCAGCTGGCGGACTCCGTCAGTGACTCGTGTCTTCACGGTGGAGTGACTCGTGTCTTCACGGTGGAGTGACTCGTGGAGTGACTCGTGTCTTGATATAAAAATGTTGTGATTTCGATATCAACAAAACATTCCTGCCACGTGGGAGCTCTGCACGGGTCTCCACTACTCTTCGATAGTCATCTTTATAAATAGTAAAGCCAGCAAACAGATGGAAGACAGCACACAAAGTCACAGTTTACAAAAACAGTAGCAGGGAACATAAGGAACAAACTTGATTCCTGCTTGATGGGGTCCTGGGAGTTCTTCTACTCCCAAAGCCGACCTGAGGCCAGGCTTGACTTGTGAGAGCTTGGCTGTTGGAAACTAATATTTATACATATGCAAACACATTGATAAATATGTCTGACCTACGCTTGAAACAATCCAGCGATCCCCTCTTCTATTATTTTATCGGTAATCTGTTCTACAGTTCTATAACCCTACTTCTAAACCAGTATTTACCCAGGTCTTTCATCAGTCTACGTCCAAGAATATCCACTATAATGTTGACTAGTAGCACTGATAAGTATTACCTTGAAATAGTTTCGAAGGTCAATGTCCTCGCTGCCCGGTGTCTGACCAAGCCTCATGGTTGGTGACCTTGCTAACCTGGGGCCAGATTCACGAAACAGTTACGCAAACACTTACGAACCTGTCCATCTTTTCTCAATCTTTGGCGGCTTTTGTTTACAATTATTAAACAGTTAATGAGCTCCGAAGCACCAGGAGGCTGCTAATAACAATAACAACAGTTGATTTGGAAGTTTTCGTGTTTGTAAACTGTTCAACAAATGTAACCAAAGCCGTCAAAGATTGAGGAAAGATGTACACGTTCGTAAGTACTTGCGTAACTGCTTCGTGAATTTGGCCCCAGGCTGTTAGACGCCGCTGCTGGCAATCACAGCCCGGTTAATCAAGTATCCTTTGAAGGTGTTTAGCAAGTTGTCATTAGAGCACCGTGAGAAGTCTGCTTGTTCCGGTGTCCTAATTATCAAATAAAATAGTTTAAACAATGACGGCAGAATTATATAAACATAGAGGCCCAAGAGCTTGGGCCTTACAGGCGTGAGGTTCGTGGTTCGAGTCTCTCAGAGCCCAGGTGAATGGAATGATATCAACATATCTTCTTGAGGTTATCTTGAGATGATTTCGGGGCTTAGCGTTCCCGAGGCCCGGTTCTCGACCAGGCCTCTTTTTTGTTACATATCTCCAGAAAGCAACCCGTAGCAGCTGTCTAACTACCAAGTACCAATTTACTGCTAGGGGATCGAACCCGGGACCTCAGGATTACGAATCCGAAGCGCTGTCCACTCAGCTCTCAGGCCCCTTATCTTGAGATGATTTCGGGGCTTTTTTTTTTAGTGTCCCCGCGGCCCGGTCCTCTACCAGGTCTCCACCCCCAGGAAGCAGCCCGTGACAGCTGACTAACATCCAGGTACCTATCTTACTGCTAGGTAACAGGGGCATAGGGTGAAAGAAACTCTGCCCATTGTTTCTCGCCGGCGTCTGGGATCGAACCCAGGACCACAGGATCACAAGTCCAGCGTGCTGTCCGCTCGGTCGACCGGCTCCCCTGTTCACTGATGACGCTCAACTCCTGGGATAAATGCAAGCTCAGGGTGAGGCTTCACCAAGCATTTACCCAATCACTTGTACATCTTTCAACAGTCATGACGACTTTATTAGTTACCTTCTTTTGGATGTATGATACTTGCTGGATTGTAGATAATACACGATTGATGACTTCAGCAGTTTATTGAGGAAGGTAAGAGTATATAGTTACGGCCTGCCGAGGTCCTACCTACCTTGAGGTCTGTGTGAATACTGACTCGCCACCAGAACGGCTAGTACCAGCTCTCTGTGGAGAATGACGTCAGAGGCTTCCTCGGCTGGAGGCCTGGTCGACGACCGGGCCACGGGGACGCTAAGCCCCGGAAGCACCTCAAGGTAAAGGTAAGCTGTGATTGGCTATCCCCAACCGTTGTACAATTTGAGTACTAACAAGTTGATTCACATTTGTTAACAGTTTATGAGCCCTGAAGCACTACGAGGTTGTGTATAACAATCTTGGGTTGTAAAGTTTCACAGCTCGTATACTGTTTAATAATTATCAAGAAAGCAGTCGTGATTAAGGAGAGATATTCAGGTTTCGTAAGAGGATGTGTACGGTGAATCCTGGCTCTGGTTCACTGCTGTGCCACTCAAAATAGCCTAGATCAAATAAGCATTTGGAAATAACAAGTGTAATTCCCCTTGCTAACCAGAATCACGTACGTGAGACTGAAATTAGAATATGCAGCAGTTATGTGGTGTCTATTAACCACAATACAACGTTAAACCTTCAAAAACAGGAGAACAAGTTGATATGATCATCACATACAAAATCACCGACAGAGATAATGAAAGGAATTAAAAAGAAAATTATATTTTACAGAGTGGGAAACAAAATTAAATGATTGGATGGTGGATACTTAAAGGACGCGTGAGAGGACTGTCCGGGAGACGGGACACTACGCGACCCGTCGTCTATACTGAAACGCTGTAGTTTGGTACGCAAACGACCAATCCGTTGCAAATACGATTTAAAGGTACAAATCGGCGTAATATTGACGTTTTCTGACCATCAGCCTCGATAGTTTAGTTAGGGTCGTACGTTAGGCAGCACCGTTGTATTTTTGACGCAGTGGTGAATCCTATGTTATATCCACCTATGTTTTATCCACCTATGTTCTATCTACCCATGGTCTATCCACCTATGTTATATCCACCCATGGTCTATCCTCCCATGGTTTATCCACTCATGGTTTATCCACTCATGGTCTTTCCCCCCATGGTCCATCCACCCATGGTCTATCCACTCAAGGTTTATTCACCATTGGTCTATCCACTTATGGTCTTTCCACCCATGGTCTATCCACCATTGGTCTATCCCCCCATGATCTTTCCACCCATGGTCTATCAACCCATGGTCTATCAACCCATGGTCTATCCACCCATGGTCTATCAACCCATGGCCTATCCACCCATGGTCTATTCCCCCATGTCTACAAGATGTCTATCCACGTCTCCAATTAAACCCTAAAAAGTACCTAATATGAAGGGTGGAGGTTAGGAGAGTTGGTCGGCTAACTGCCCAACTGCCTGGTGCCGAGGTGGGGATGAGGTACTCATGACCTCCGTTCATGAGGCATTCATGAGGTACGTTCACGTGGATACCTCATACGCTCATGAGGTATTCCTCACACACACACACACACATTCATAACATGAGATATCCATCGTACGCACATGAGATATCCCTCACAAATTTATCCAGATATCCATCTCACATTCGTAAGATATCCATCTCACACTTATCCTATATCAGAATTTATTTAGTTTCAGTTGTTCTAATTCATAAAATTGACTTAATGATGATAGGCCCCAAGCCATAAATCGCTAATTATCTATTTCCCGATCAGGATTCGAACCTGCATTTTTTTTTTTTTTTGTTTTTTTTATTATTTTCTACCACAGACGTGGCCACACATTTACAATGCTAACCAGCATATATACATTTTCTTCTGTCCTCCATGGACAGGGTTAGAGAAGTGTTAAACATACAGTTCAAGGGTTTATTGAACACTCAACCACAGAAGGTGATTCGGTGCTTTTAAAATGCTAAGCTAACCTACATACGTAAATACAAAGATACACAGATTTACGTACGCCCTACATAAAGTATTAGATGTGTCTTTTACATAGTGTCATTAATGTACATTCACAAAGGTGAAATGTAATTCTGATCAGCTTCCATATTTGCTTTATACCCATACATATACATACACACACACATACACATACATATATACACACATACATGCATTCACATACATTTGTCTCATTTACCCTGACAGGGTGAGGTAGCTGATAAAGAAACTAGTGTGCAATTAAGCACTTAATCACTGAAGGTGATGAAGGTGCTTTTACAAGCTCAGGTTATATAGTTACATCACATACATACATTGTATGATTGATACATTACATGGTCAATTTTGGATACAAGTCCATATATCATCAAGTGTTCCAGTACTCATATAGTAACTACAGAGTTCAGCATACCTTAGCCCAGGAGGGCGAAAGTCAGTCAGTATGGGACATTCTACAATATAATGTTCAAGAGAGTGCATGTTTTCTCTTTCACAAAGTTGACACATTGTGTACTCGACATTTGGGTTTTGAGAAAGCTGCCAGATACGTCTATATCCCAGGCGTATTCTGGCCACTATAACATCACATTGCCGGGTTCTTGTTCTATTAGTCCCATATGTGAATGTCTCCTCACGATATCTATCATAATATTTAATGCTACAACTTTCAGGTCTTTGAGAATTTGTTAGGTCGGTGAGATTTTCATTAGATATTTGTTTAAGTATTCTCTTTGTCACTGCTAATGAAACACCCATATCAATTTCTACCACTGGTTTTCTGCAATTACCAGGAAGGCTTGGTCGAGGACCGGGCCGCGAGGACGTTGAGCCCTGAAATCACCGCAAGGTAACCAGGGATCACTCCACTGGCGTACACTGAACTAATACCACTTTACCAGCGATTACCTATAATGATACCTGCTTGATGGGGTTCTGGGAGTTCCTCTACTCCCCAAGCCCGGCCCGAGGCCCGGCTTGACATTGTTGTTCCTGATTTATGGCTTGGGTCTCTCTCTCCCACGTGTTGGCTCAGTGCGATCCCAAGCATGTACTCGAATTTGGTGAAAAACTGTCCCCAAATCGCACCGCGAGTGTTGCCGGGGGATGGTTGGTCATTAGAGTTCGTGTGGCGAGCTCCATGACCAACCAACCCTTATAAGCAG